GCTGCCACATTAAGCTTTTGTGAGGAAGGACAGCAGTCAGAAACCCAGACGTGGTGGCTCTTCTGTCTCTTGTAAAACTGTTACTCTCTTCTTTGCAGCCTCACTTTTTTTATTTCCTATCATGCAACAGAAGTGATCGCCCACAACTCTTCAGCATCTCAGGCCAGTTACAACTACAGTATTGGTTCCAGTTCTTAGTACTCAGAAGAGCTCATTCAAAATCTTACCTCGGTAGGTCAGTGCATACCACTGGGCCATTCATATATGGTGGGAAGAGAAATGCCTGGTAAAATTTGGCTTTTGCTGGCGCCCCCTAGAGACGATTAGAACACCGGAGAGACAAAGGGGAATTGTGAGCTTGCCCAACACCCTGAAAGCTGTCCACTGTAACTAGAGAAATGAGGAAAAGCCACCCTAGGGTGCAGAGGAGCCACCCTAGGGTGGATCATCACCTGGATAATATAAAAGGGAGATGTAGGACAGAGGAACTTCCATTCCTTTTGGAGGAGCTCGAGTCTTCACCTTCAGCTTGGACTTTGTCTCCTGGCTTCTAGTGCAGACTCTTCGGCTTCCACCTTGGAGCCTTCAGCCTTCCACTGCAGACCCATCGGCCTCCTGGTGCGGACTTGCACGGAACTCTGCAGTGAACTCCAGACCCCGGACTGATTCTTTCAGTCTTCAGTGTGCAGACACCCTCTGCACGCTTCCCCGTACAACCCTCTTGCTGACCGTCGTAAGCCAATCTTGTAACTTCTTATAATTTGTGTATCCTGTGTTATATCTGTTTCTCCAGTAAAACCCTGACTGACACACATGCCAAACACTGTTGTAAGGGCCTTTTATGTATTAACATATTTAATCCTTTAAAGTTTAGAGGTAGATACTCATTATGCATATTTTACATGAGATCAAGGCACAAAGAAGTTAAGCAATTTGTCTGAAGTCACACAGCTGGCAAATGGCAGGCTGGCTTTCTATACCATGGACTCTGTGGTTTTATCACCTCTCAGTACTGGGGCTCTAGAGCCAATGGTGTGTACTGCCTAGGTTCTTCTGGAGGCAAGAAACCGTTTCTTGCAGGCAGTTTTACAGGAAGGAGGTGTCAGCGAAGGATGGAAGTGGAGTTAAAGCGCTGGGAAGCTGAGCGCACTGGCACACGCCTGTAACCCCAGCTACTTAGGGACTGGGGATTTAGCTCAGTGGCACAGCGCCTGCCTGGCAAGCGCGACGTTGTGAGTTTGATTCCCAGTACCAGAAAAAAGCAAAAACAAAAAAAAAACCCAAAACAGCTACTTAGAAGTCTGAGTCAGGAAGATTGCAAGTTCAAGCCCAGCCTGGGAAATTTCGTGAGACCCTATCTCAAAATAAATAAAAAGGGCTGGGCATATAGCTCAATGGTAGAATGCTCCAGGCCCTGGGTTCAATTCCTGGTGGGTCGGGGTACAGACAGACTGACGGACCTTGAAAATAAGAGTAGGCACCACGAACCAGCCAGAAAATGGCTCTGGGTCAAAAGTCACTCCAGCATTCTCAGCAGCAAGGAATAGCTCAAGGGTCCCTGCTCTGCTGTGCCTCCGCTGACAGCACTCCTTTTGCGTGTCTGCCTCAGGGTTCCGTCATCGTATATCTACCCCCTGGCTTTCCTTCCCTGGGCTCCGCTCGCTCTCTCTGTCTGTGTCTCTCTCAGCTAGAACTTCTTTGAGCTTCTTTCCCAGTCACCCATGGCTTTGGGGTTTACTCCTCAGGGTCTTTTAGCACCTGCTCCTAAGTGCCTTGATCTCCCCACATTTTCAAGGTCATTCTGAGGCCGAGAGAAAGACTGAGGAGCTCGACTCATTCTGAGCCCGCACAGACCATAAGATGCTGGTCCGCCTGTGGCCACACGCTCTGAGGGCAGTTACCTACGCCTCCCCTGACTGGTTAGGGCTAGCGTGGGGCCTGAAGTGCCACGGCACGGAACATGGCCACCTCTGAAGCACCTTGAAGTTGCCCTTTTAGGCACTGCTGCCAGTGAGGCAGTTTTCTTTAGAAGGTGCCCTTGTGATACACAAGCGTACCCAAACTTTATGCCTTCAGGTTAAAATTATTCTTTGTGCCCCAAACCGTCCCATTTCCTTGAGTTTCTAGGAAGCCTTCTTTCCCTTCTGCGTCCTCTAGTCCTGTGGACCTGGACATCTTCCACTGACCTGGCTTGTCTAGTGAGGACAGCACCTGCAGCCACTGATTTATTTATTTTTATTTTAAAAATGAAAAAAACTAACGAAACAACAATGAAGACAAAACCAAAACAGTGGTTCTCATACTGCATGTTGCTGTTTACAGACCAGTCATTCTGATTACCACATTCAAGCGTGCAAAACTGGTCAAGAAAAGAGAAAATTTTACGCTGGTCTTGAACTCGCAAAGATCCTCCTGCCTCAGCCTCCTGAGTGCTGGGATTACAGGCGTGTGCCACCATGCCCGGCTGATACAGAATTTCAAAACATGGTGATAGAATATTAACAATGGTCGTTATATTACATAATGTCTTTTTCAGAATGGTTGTGCATATAACCAGATAGAGGCATGCAAGATCCAGCAAACAATTACACATGAACAGTTCCTTTCAATAAACCAACAGATATTAGTCAGCCACTGATTTAGACACTGGTCAAAGAGGGAAGGGAAGGGAGCAGTCAGCAGAGCTGGGTTTAGCAAGCTTCAGACTTTCCCACTGTGAGCTGCAAGCGCCTCCTTTCTACTTTCTAGTCGGGCTGACTGCCTGCTGGCCTTACAGAGATGCCCACACAGTCATCCCGTGGGCTCCACCTCCTCTTCCTTGCCGGACGATCTGAGACCGTGGGTGGAAAGTGGTCTCTCCACAGCCCCACGCCAACCACAGTGGCTCCATTCCCTCTGCCAGTGATGGCTTCAGCTTTACAAAATGCATAGTCTGCTGCATGCATCAGCAGAAGTGGGAAGGCTTCTGGGAAATGTTTTTGTCCCTGATTTTTTTTTTCTTCTTTTTTGAGACAGGGTCTCGCTATGCAGTTCAGGCTGGCCTTGAGCTCACTTTGCAGCCCAGGCTGGCCTGGAACTAGCAACAATCCTCCTGCCTCAGCCTCCCGAGTGCTGGGATTACAGGCGTGCGCCACCACACCCAGAAAGCAGGTTTATTCTTGAGGAGTAAGCAGAATTCCAAGTTGCAACAGGTGGCTTTTATCCATTTGAGTATACAAAAAAAGTCAGGTTCTTTGTCAAGAATTTCTGCCCTCCTGCAAGAAGTGAAGACTAAAAAGGAAGACATTTAGTTAAAAGGTCTCTAAATCATATCCTGTGGCAAGTCATGAGAATTGTGTAATCTTTTTCCAGGCTTTGCCTTATTATGGTAACAGGCAGTAAAATCCACCTTCCAGCCCACTTTGACATTCAAATACTGACCCTGCCTTCTACTTCCTTTGTCCTTGGAACGAGGGCCTACTGTCATCTCCCCTGCTTTAATAACCATCTGGAGGCTGGCTTCACAGTGTCGCTTTTCTGTGACCGTCCTGCCCTCTGCTGGGATAAGGACATGAACTGCAGATTATTGGACTTGTGGGAAGGCACAACTTTTCGGAAAGGATACATTCCTCGGGGTCACTCTAGGTCATTGTTCACTAGAAATCCTGTGAGCCTAGTCTCTGAGTGTGGGGTGGGAATGTTCTTGGGGAATACAGGTTTAAAGTCTTTTTAAAAAAACCTCAAAAAACCCACAAAAAAACCTCAACTCTTCCTAGAAATATTGGGTACGGTTCCATTGGTTTCAACTGTATTTATTTCCCAATGAAGTACTGTACATTGAGCCGTCTTTATTTTATTTTTTGTCTTTTTGAGACAGGGTCTCGCTATGCAGTTCAGGCTGGCCTTGAGCTCAATTTGTAGCCCAGGCTGGTCTCGAACTCGCAACGATCCTTCTGCCTCAGCCTCCTGAGTGCTGGGATTACAGGTGTGCGCCACCACGCCCAGCAAGCCCTGTCTTTAAATCTAATAAATTACCGGTACCGGAAAAAAACCAAAATCCAAAAAAAAAAAAAAAAAGGAAAAAAAAAGGAAAACTAATAAATTAATTGCATCAAACGAAAGAAAATTTCCGAAGCAGTATTTCGGTAATCAGAAGTCTTTGGGCTGTTGTGCTTAACCGCGGTAAGAAACGTATCACACAGGGCTGTGTTGTAGCGGAGTGAAGGAACCTTTCTACCTAGCACGCAGCAGGGCACCGGGCAAAAACTTACATAGAATTTAGCATCTTTACACCTCCAAGCATACAGTCAGTGTTACAGGACTCCGGCTCCAGGGACAGAACAGGATCAGCGCTGACGGCCCGGCTGTGAGGGACATAGCCTGGGGCAAGTGGGAGGCGGGGAGCGGGGAACCCGAGGAGATATTGGGGAGGGGTGTCCCCTCCCCCGCGAAGCACGGTGTTCTGGGCGTAGAATCTAGCTCAAACCAAAGAAAAGCAGGGCGTGGTGGCGCACGCCTGTAATCCCAGCACTCGGGAGGCTGAGGCAGGAGGATCATTGCAGAGACCAGCCTGGGCTACAGAGTGAGCTCAAGGACAGCCTGAGCTGCGTATCGAGACCCTGTCTCAAAAAGACAAAGAAAAACCCCAAAACAAAAACGAAAACAAACAACAAATAACCCAAAAAACGAAAGAAAACTATACAAACAAGCATGCAAGCAAGCCGGCGTGCCGCGTGGCGGGGTGGTACACAGGCTTGTAATCCCAGCCCCGGAGAAGTTAAGAAGGGCCGGAGGATTGCTCCTAGTTTGAGGCCAGCCGGGGATAGTGAGCTCAAGGCCGCCCTGGACTGCAAGGCGAGTCTTGATCCTCCGATCTTCCGCTCCCTAGATCTCTCGCGCTCAAAAAAAAAACCCCAAAAAACAAAAAACCAACTTTGACTTTGAGACTTTACTGAGCATGCGTCGAGGCCCCGCCCACACCCCCCTCATGACGTGTATTCCATTTAGGCGGCGGACGTCGGCAGGAAGTGACGTAAGGAGCCACCGGAAGTGGCCGTGTGTCCTGCGAAGAGGCTGATAGTGGTGCCCGGCCCGCGTCCAGAGAGCTGCAGCTATGTCGATCGAAATCGAGTCTTCCGAGTGAGTCCCGCGACTGCGGACGCTGGCGGCGCGGCGGGGCCGGGGGAGTTAGCGGTGCGGGTGCAGCGTCCCGAGGAGGCGGCGCCGGGGCCTGGGGGTGGAGGGCCGCGTCCTGGCCCCGTGGAAACTTTCTGGGCCGGGCGGGCTGCGGAGCCGCGCTTGCTAGGGCCGCAGCGGGAGCA